GGCAGGCTCTGTCGTTGGTGATGATGTCGGCGTTGGCGAGGCCCTACCGTCTGTTGGCATACTGGCATGACTGCTCCGCTGCTCTGTAACTGTTTATTGTTGCGAGACGGTGAGCATTGGGTTTGGGGTCGTCGGTCGCGGCTCTCGATCACGAATAGCCGTACGAAGGCCCTCTCATGCCGGATGTGTTGGCGGACAGGCTTTATAGTGCTGGGCTTGCCGCGGGCAGGGGAGGCGGCGGTAGGTTGCTCTCGGCCCGATGGTCGCAACCTACGTTGGCCCAAACGGCGTTCTGTGGTTGAACATCATTGCCTGGTATGGTAGTTACTGCAGCTGGAGGCCTGATCACAGGCGATGAATCATGTTTTCGGCCTTTTCCCGTGATTAAGCAGCCCCGCGAGGCACCTTCACAATGCTGAATCCGCTCCGCGGAGGTATGAAGTCGTCGTCACCGTACCGACAAGTGCATCAGTTGTGCAAACCGCACCAGTTCTGGATGCGGCCCTAACCTCTTGCATTAGCCAGAAAAACAACTGATGATGCCGATGCAGATTCTCCTGACGTCGCAGCAAATATACGATGTTGCCGAGGGAGATGTCCTTGCTCCTTTTGACCCAAATTCCATCTCTCCGCCGTTTCGGCTTCTGGTTTAAGATCTGGATCCCCCCCCCCCCCNTCCCCCCCCCCCCCCGCGTATACACTATCGAACGAACGCCTCGCAGAGTGGGAGCATGGTACATGGTCACGCCGCAGGAGGAGGGCGTGGAAGTGGTTTGGCAGAAAGAGATGGTGGACAAAGCCGAACCTAAGGTAGGAACGCAGAGAAATCGACAGCGTGTGACGACGGTAGTACTCCTTGGGCACCGCGCGCTGTTGAGTTTCGTATGATTATGAGGGGTACATTCATGGCATTGTTCCTTGCCGCGTGTGGCATGCAGAGAGTATTGGTCAGTGGGGTCGGGTTGGAGGTTCTACGGAAGCATGACGACGCGGGAGGTATGGCAGCTGCTGGTGCTTGTTGTTGTTGTTGTTGTTGTTGTTGTTGTTGTTGTTGTTGTTGTTTTCCCCCTTTCGTCCAATTCAATCTGGTCCATGGCCGCAAACAACACGAAAACCTTCTGTGCCCAGCGTGGGCGTGTTGACTGACATGTTGCTACACCTACTATCCTCTCCTACGAGAGTCTCGATTTATCGCCGGCGAGCGGCCTTGCAACCACCCCCCCCTCCGGTTGACCCTGTCTTTGCTGTTCCTCCCCCCTGTTTACGGCTGTGCGCGCAACCTATGTCCTTTGGTCCCTCCCCCCTCCAAGGTTCTCGCGTACGATATCGAGTGTACAAAGGCTCCGCTGAAGTTTCCCAACGTGGAAATAGACCAGGTATGTACGCTATGTGACAATAAACGGGGGAGAAGAGACAGGGGTTGCCATCACAGCCGGCTAGCGAAGCTGGATGGAGGTGCGGTAGAAAAAGGTGGCATGTAGGGACGGGATTGGAGCACAATCGAAGGAGGGAATGATGATAGCCCACGCATCCCCCTCCCCGCCCGGTGTACGGTGTTGGTTGTGCCACATGTGTCTTGGTCCGCAAGTGGGACGTCTCGTGGGCTGTTTAGCTCAGCCATCGCTTACGTTGGCCGAATCGATTAGCAAAAAGCATGAGCGCCATCTACAAGACCAAGGATTACCCCTTGGCTTACGCCTACCGGACGGGCAAACAACCCTTTTGCATAAAACTCCCTCAACTCTTCTCTGTTCCTCCTTTCGCCCTTCGTCTCTCGCTCAGGTTTTCATGATCTCGTACATGGTTGACGGGCAGGGGTACCTTATCATCAGCCGGGAGGTGGTTAGCGAGGATGTGGAGGTATGTATCTGTATGTGTGCACGGTAGGGAAGGGGGTTTCAGTGCCAGGACGAGGTGGGTGAGGGTCGGGAGAGAAAACTGAGAGAGAGAGCGAGAGCGAGAGCGAGAGAGAGGGAGAGAGAGAGAGAGAGAGAGAGAGAGA